GACTCCCTGGTTCAAGCAATTCCTCTGCCTCAGCCTCCTGAGTAGCTGGGATTTACAGGCACGTGCCACCACACCCAGCTCATTTTTGTATTTTTAGTAGAGACAGGGTTTCATGATGTTGGCCAGAATGGTCTCAAACTTCTGACCCTGTGGATCCACCCACCTCAGCCTCCCAAAGAGCTGGGATTACAGGCATAAGCCACCGCACCCAACCTGAAAATCATTTTTAAAACTCAAAATATAGACAAACTGATACCACAGAGGGCCATACTATTTGGGATGGGGAAAATTCTAGGCAAAAGAATGACAAGAAGTCAGGCATGGTGGTACACGCCTGTAATCCCAACACTTTGGGAGGCTGGTGTGGGTATATCACTTAAGCCTAGGAGTTGATGACCAGTCTGGCAAAATGACTTCACCTCTACAAAAAATTAAAAAACTGGTCAGGCATAGTGGCATGCACCTGTACTCCCAGCTACTCAGGAGGCTGAGGCAGGAGGATCATCTGAGCCCAAGAGATTGAGGCTGCAGTGAGCTCTGATCGTGCCACTGCACTCCAGCCTCAGTGACAAAGCAATGCCCTGTCTCTAAAATGAAAAAAAGAAAGGCAAGAGCAAAAACAAAGCAGTATCAAAGGGTTAAGAAATCAAAATCTCCAGAAGAAAACAAAATCAACCAGCTGAGTAAGGAATGAAATGAGCAGTGATGTGGGCAAGGAGAGTGAGAGGTGACATTAGAACAGGAGTTGAGATATACTGGAGATGACAAGGACTGATACGTGGACAGGACATGGCCTGATTTCTGCTTTATTTATTTATTATTGTTTTTTGAGACCGAGTCTTGTTCCATCGCCCAGTCTGCAGTACAGTGGCACAATCTCGGTTCAATGAAACCTCCACCTCTCGCGTTCAAGCAATTCTCCTGCCTCAGCCTCCCAAGTAGCTGAGATTACATGCATGAGCTACCATGCCCAGCCAATTTTTTGTATTTTTAGTACAGATGGGGTTTCACCATGCTGGCCAGGCTGGTCTCGAACTCCTGACCTCAGGTGATCTTCCTGCCCCAGCCTCCCAGAGTGCTGGGATTACAGACATGAGCTACTGTGCCCAGACTTATTTATGCTTTATTAATAGTACAGATCAGCACTTTTGAAAAATATTTTCTATATTAATGGCAATATTCTATGTCTGCACAGTCCTATGGCATAGCCACTAACCACATCTGGCTAATACGCACTTAAAATGTGGCCAGTGTTTGAGGAACTGAACTTGTGACTACTTTAATTACATTTACATAGCCATATGCAGCCAGTGGTTGCCAAACTGGAAAGTACAGAAATAAACATTGTGTTTTTGTTTGTGTTTTTATTTTTTTATTTAAAGAGGGGGTTTCACCATGTTGATCAGGACTGGTCTTGAACTCCCGACCTCAGGTGATCCACCTGCCTTGGCCTCCAAAGTGCTTGGATTACAGGCGTGAGCCACCACGCCCAGCCAACATTGTATTAAAAATGACATATCAGGCCGGGCATGGCGGCTCATAACTGTAATCCCAGCACTCTGGGAGACCGAGGCAAGCAAATCGCCTGAGGTCTGGAGTTCAAGACCCACCTGACCAACATGGTGAAACTCCGTCTCTTAAATTAGCCAGGTGTGGTGGTGTATGTGTGTAATACCAGTTACTCAGGTGTCTGAGGCAGGAGAACTGCTTGAACCCATTAGGAAGAAGTTGCAGTGAGCAGAGATTGTACCATGGCACTCCAGCCCAGGCCAAAAGAGTAAAACTTCATCTCAAAAAAAAAAAGAAAAAAGAAAAAAAAGGCAGATAAAGAATGTATGGCTTTTTAAAAATGGTAAACCCAGAAAGACAAATATCAGGTGAAAAAATGGTAATAACAAAATTGTCTACAAGCAGAAAGCACACAGAGGATGGTAACTGCCTCAGCTGATCTAGAAAAGCCAAATACTAAGCCATCAATAGAGAAAACCAGAACACTCAATCTGTGTCCTCACAGAACCACATAATATACCTCAGCATTGGATCGACAGCAGCAACTTTGTAAGCAGAAGTGAAGATGAAGCTAAATTTAAGAGGACTGGTTTAAAATATGCACAGAAGCAGATCCCTGGCACCTCTGCACAGCAGAATGACTTCCCCCTCCGATGGGATCTATACATCATCAAGGGGGTAACAAATAGCCAGGGGATTATAGAAAATGAAGATAGATCAAGTCAATGTAAACAAAATGAATAATGATACCAGTCTTCTCTTCCTATAAGGTGTTAAGGACTATAACTAACAGATAGTGATATGCCCTACAGGAAAGAGACAAAAGAATATTCCTTGAACAATCCAAACAAGCTTACCTATGGTACTCTATACCCTATCTGTACTAAAAATACAAAAAATTGGCTGGGCGCAGTGGTTCACATCTGTAATCCCAGCACTTTGGGAGGCCGAGGCGGGTGGATTACCTGAGGTCAGGAGTACAGGATCAGCATGGCCAACATAGTGAAACCCCATCTCTACTAAAAAATACAAAAATTAGCCAGGCGTGGTGGCAGGTACCTATAATCCCAGCTACTCAGGAGGCTGAGACAGGAGAATGCGCCATTGCACTCCAGCCTGGGCAACAAAAGCGAAACTCCTTCTAAAGAAAAAAAAATTAGTCAAGCATAGTGGCACACGCCTATAATCCAGCTACTCAGGAGGCTAAGGCACAAGAATCGCTTGAACCCAGGAGGTGGGGGTTGCAGTCAGCCAGGATTGCACCACTGCACTCCAGCCTGGACAACAGAGTGACACGTCATCTCAAAAAACAAATAAAAATAAATAAGGATAGGAGACAATACCACTACAGACCTCAGAGACATTAAAAGGACAGTAAAACATTACTGGCATAAAACACTGTTTTAAAAAAAAAAATTGAAGTTTTATACCAGTAAATTAACAAATGAAATAGACAAATTCCTTGACATACACAAATAACAAAAGAAATTGAAGCACAGCGGTTCACACCTGTAATCCCAGACACTCAGAAGGCTGAGACAGAAGAATTGCTTGAGACCAGGAGTTCAAGACCACCCTGGGTACCATAGCAAAACTCCAGCTCAAAAAAGAAAAAAAATGTCTGAACAGCCAGCTACCAATTGAAGGAATTGAATTTACAATTACAAAACTTCTTGCAAAGAAAACTTCTGGCCCAGATGGCTATACTGATGAATGCTGCCAAATATTTAAGGTAGGCAGGAGGAAAATCCAACACAAACTCTTTCTGAAAAATAAAGAGAGGCTGGTGATTCCAAAAAAAAAAAAAAAAAAAAAAAAAAAAGGGG